TTAATGTCTGTTCCAGTATGATGTATGTCAAGTTATTTGCCAAAGATGTTCGCCAGCACGATTTCTCATCCTCAGTAGTTCTTTGCCAAAACCCACGGAAGATAAAGATTAGGGCTGCCGCATGATATTTTTCAATGTCATATCATATAGTTTACTTGGTATCCAATTGTGTGGGGTTAGTTCCTTAGTTAAGAATGACAAATTGAAAATTTTTAGAGCAAAATAAATTATTTCCAAGTACAATCAAATATGTTTGGTCTTTTTGAACTCCAACCATCTTTAGTTTTCTTTTAATCTGTTCATATTCCGTATCCATATTCCCAGTTATATATTTTCAGCGTTTTAGCTGGGCCAAGAGAAGGCCTACAAACTGTTAATTATATTGTAACTGAACCGAACATTATTTAAAATCTGACACATGGCTAAACATCTGAGTATTTATTGGTAAAAGGTCAGGGAATGGAAAAATGTTCACTCCATTAAAGTTTAGATCATCGTTTGAACTGATCAGTCAAGTCATATGACGATATATCTTTTGTTTACTTTTTGCATTACAACTTGTATCCAGTCAATTTGAAGGAAAAACATAATTCTTTACAAATGTTCCTATACAGCCTACTCAACTCAGGTCTGCAATATTTTTCTTAGAATCAACAACTTTTACCTAAATATTTATGATCAAATAAACCTAAATATTTATGAAATATTCTGTTTATTTGAAACACTTAAATAATTATTGGATAAATTAGGTAATATTTTAAAGTTTATATTTATTATATTGTGAAATGATATTCCTTGACTCAGTGCGATATTATGTTACACTATACAAGACTCCAAAAAACTGTCTCAACTCTTTTTAATACGGTATACAAAGTTCTGTACTGGCACCATATTTATAATAGGGGTTTTTAGAATACTTTATGTAAACACGAGAATATAAAAATAATACTCAGAGAGTGATGGAAATACACAGAATACTAATGAGGGGTCGATGGACCAGCGCTTGCTTAATTTTGTGGCAAAACGTTTAACGTGTTTGAAAATTTTATATCAATGTGTTTCTACCTAAACAAAGTTTATAATCAAAGCTTATTAATTATTGATAAGTTAATGCTTAATTTAAAGCTAAAGCTAAAGTTAAAGCTTAGGTTAAAGCTTTAAGCTTAATTATTGACGAGTTAAACCCTTAATGTATAAACAATATAAGGTATAAGTAAGGAATCAGCACCACGTAGAAGTTAAAAAATCGCGTGGATAAAAAAAAAACTTATTATGTAATGATTTGTAATTTTTTTAAATGCAAAGTTGCTAACATAAGCGTTTTGAAGAAATACATTTTTTAAACAAATATTACGTCACCTTTCTAATCGCTGTTTATTTTTAGTGAGTGTCATCTGAATAGGCCTACCTGTTTTTCATAACCTTTTAAATTCACTAAAACTGCTTCTTAGGCTACTCCAATATAAACAAGTGAACTAGATCGAATCCATATGAGAATATTAGAGACACTAACAGTTAATTAACCTAAATGTTATATACCTCTAGTATTTGATTATTGGAAAGCTCATTTAGGTCTACTATTTTTATTAAAACGACCCTGATATTTACAGTTTCAGAAAATATACCCATCATTTCCAATAAATTTAAGTGTTGACCTTGGTGTTTTATGCTATTAAAGAACATGTGAGCAGTTTGATATACGTTAGTTCTGCCAAGCAGTGTCGCCAACTCATTTGTCATCGTACGTCAGGTTTTGCCAAAACCTTAACTTGTGCAGATAAAATTACCTAGGTGTTATTTATTGTTTTACCTACACCTGTTGTAAGGAATACATTCCTATAGCTCTTTACAAAGTATTAAATAAACTGTTATAGGTACGGTGCAATAGTTATACAAATATTGTTCTTATTGTAATTAAGTGTTTTAATATAATAATTGTTCATATTCCATGAACTAATTAAGAACTGATGAAACGATTAAAATGCATGCAAACCATTAATGTAGTTTCACCTTTTTAAATGTACCATAATATAAATTTGTTTCTCATACTTGTAGAGGTTCTTAATAATTTTCTCTATGTCAATAGTAATCTAATCTTTACTCGAAGTAGACATCTTACCGATTAGGTGACTAGTTTTAATGTATCTTAGTATTTAGGACTTGGGAAGTTATTTGTACAAAAACAATGGAATATGTATCATTTAATTTTTGTCCTTAGTATAATTTAGAAAACGATAGGTAATTAGATGGTTATGCAATCCATTTTCATGCGATTTATTTGTGGAAACGATTTCACAATAATAACACTGTTAATCAGCTGATTTGATGACAATGGGCAGTTCGCCTGTTTGTTGTTAAGTTATTGCGATATTTTTCAAGTGCTGCCACTACTAAATTAGTGTTATTTTTACATCTGATGTGTACTGTAATAGGAATTAGCTTTATGACCGTGATAAGACACTATTTTTATTGTAAACCATAATGTTTGAATACGAGGGCTACAATATATTTGTTTAGGCATATAATAGTATTAACGTGCTCAAAGGCATTTTTAAATGTATTAAATAAACCAGGTTTTTTTAATTGATCGTTTACAAAAAGCTGTTTTATAGTGGAATGGGACAAGTAATACAGCTTATCGTTGAAGTTGGTGTTTGCTTACTAATTGTACACTGTTTATATACATGTGAAATTATTTTATTTTCATGCCATGCCAAAACACTAATTGGATTGTCTTTTCAAGTCCCATATTATAGATGATGTATTTTTAAGATGCATGTTTTCTCCACTCGTTGGATTACATAAAATCCTGTCCTTGATTTTATGTAGACGAAAACTGTGATTGAGATATTAAATCTGTTACGCCGGAAACGGGTTTTAACGATGCCACATGATTATATAATTAACTACTAACGAGTGCGTTACTGTCCCTGTTTGTTGTAACGTGGAAACCCAAGTTACGAGTATTAGTTATCCTTGAATTACTCCATGTGGGAAGTAACATTATTCTTCGAACAATACTTCTTGATTAAGGACAAATATAAATGTAAGCAACGACAATCGTGTATCTAATGGCAACCACAATCTTGCAATAACTTCACAGTTTGCTTAAATTACGGTACTTCAACCAAATGTTTGTATTATTTTATCACTCCGTTCTTGATTGACATACACTACTAATAAAATAACCCCGCAGCAGTAAACCTGCAAATTAGGCGAATTTTAAATTACACGATTGTATTTTCAATTCAATCTTTTTAAATAACATTAGGTTTAACTTGCTGCCCTAGGGAGGTTAATCAAGTGTGTTTTAGTACAATTTTAATAGCTTAGTATAAAATAAATCGATTTGCCAAGTTTTATTCAAATTCATATCTAAACAAGGGAACTACAACAGTTATTTTATTCACCTTAAGAATAACATGGAAATTTAAAATTATTTACAACTTTTTTTAAGCTTCTCCGTAACCAAAAAACTTAAGAAACACATAAATAAACTACATCATAGGTTTTTTTCATGTCCATTTACTAGTCAATAATAAACAAACGTTCAAATACTCACAACACTAGGTTGAAGTTGAACATACAAACATCCTTAGCTGCAGATGTCGATGAACACGTTATAAGTTATATATGCGTGTATAACTGCGCTGGTATATACACACACACACACACACACACACACACATCCTGGTACATTCATGAATAATCATGACTTTGCCATGTCAGATGCACCATTTGTTGTCCCATTCTGGGTTTGCTCAATTATGCAAGCATTGACCAAAAATCCAACATCCCTAAATATTTTAACTCTGGTTGACTGTCGAAACTGGTTGACTCCTAAATTTTTTACTATTTTTTGATAATTTTTAGTGTACTACAAATGGTAAAATTGTACTGAAGAGGGTGTACAAACCACTTAAACTATATAAACTGAATAATCATCGAGTAATAATTATCATTTAATATTTTGGTTTGATAAATTCATAATTTTGAATCTCATAAGAATTACTGCCAAACGCTTAAAAGTGCTGTAAATAATATGTTTTGCGTAAGTTTAATTACGATTTAATTTTTATGAGGCTAAGTTCACATTTCCTTAATATAATATCATTTTTCGGTAAAACGCACTATTATTCACAACTATTCTCTGTTTAAAATCAAAGACGAGGATCAAAACCGAAAATAAAATCATTAATTTTAAAATTCATATTTTATCTAATAATATTGAAATAATTTCAATGTTCAACACGATCGATGTGCATGCAATAGTAGATTTTTAAAGACAAAATGACGCTTTTTTATTCTAAAGACAAAGAAAACCCGACTACTAGAAACGCTAAGACTAATATAGTTAGTCAAGCTGTAGTAATTTAATTTCCAATCTCTCGTGAAACAAGACTTGCAACTTTACTGTTGGATTAAACGCTAAAGTAATCAACTTTATCGCATCGTAAATGTCCCTAGAGATTTGTAATTACGATCAGGTATCACAGTAAAGGAACTAAAATTTAAAATTCTCAGAATTCATGTTGTTATAATTGACTAAAAATCAGTTTTGATTTATTCTGTTTTTTGAGGACTTACATGATATGTTGCAAACACAAAATATAAGGCCGTGAATTATAATTGTGTATAGGCTTGTATGAACAATGGATAGAATTCATTTCATGATTTATCATTGATTGAAATCTTGGTTGTGGCATTCCTCACTCTTAACAATACTTGTATTATTAAACATTTTTCAAGGCAATGAGGATAATTTCGTGAATAAGTGAGCAAATTGGTGTTAAATATTGAATTACCGAAAAATTTATTCTCGATATGAAATATGTCATATTTTTATCCAACAGATAAACTAGCTAGAACTGCAAATTGTGGTGTCATACATATAACAGATCCTAACTAATATGTTATAGACATTTTAAATTCACAAAGGTAAAGTAAGTATTTTACGCATTATTTTTTTAATCATATTTAATAGTGATAATAATTTTCAGGAGCTGGAAGGAGTGTAATGGCAGAAGATCGTTTAAACTCTAATGGGTAAGTAAAATCATTGACAGCGTTGATAACATTTGTAGTTAAGCATATTTTACGTATTGAAATACATTATTATTAGAAAATATTTTTCTGTATAAGTGAATGTCTTTAGTTTATGTCCAGTGATAAATTAGTTGTTATATTCACTAAAAATATATAGGATAAAAGACACCTTGGATAAACCACACTATAATGATTATTTAAAATTTGACTGATCTTTACGTAAAAGCCTTATACAAATTAAAATAGAATTAATCGTCATGCTAAACTGGATATTAGTTTATACCTATTAATATATAGATTATTTGCTTATTATACGTATAAATTATTTGCATACCCAATAAAACTTTTTGAAGTCTAGCTAAACTTCTGGTGAGGTGACTGCCACATTTTAAGAAAGATATTAAGAGGTTTTTAAAAAGATATTGCAGTAGATGTAAAAAAAATGTCCATAAAAATACGTTTACTAGAAAGTAACAAAAAACTATATTGTAAAAGAAAAATCCCATTATTTTTACCTAGAACCACACAATCTACCAATTAGGGACAAAGTAGTTCCTTTGACATAAGTAAACAAGCATAAATGTTTGTCTCTTATTTCCACCTTTGACGATATTTTCACATTTTCACAGTTTTCACTTTTCATTCACACACTTTCACTTATAGGCATTTCGTTTTGGGTTAAACTTCGTTTCAATCAATTAGGTAAGAGCAAAATCGTGACGAAATATTTCAACTCTAATACTCTCAATTATACCAAAATATAGATTTTAAACCTAATACTACACTTATACAATTTTTATTCATAGTTTGCATTTGTAAGATATTTATAATAATTTATGATAATATATACATAGTTTAAAGAATATAATTAAAATACGATTTTATCTATCATGCTAAAAAACTATGGTCGTATCTGTTTACAAATTTTTTAAACATCTCTTATAAAAAAGTTAACAAAACATTGTATAACGTATCTTTATGTTACTGTACCATATATTTGGATCTTGATTTAAATGGAGAACAAATTGAAATCAGACTCTGGGTTGTGGGTCAAGAGTTGTGACAGTTTAACAGTTAAATGCTTTTGGTTTGATTGTGATACTTTTCAAAGTAATTAATACAATTCCAAACCAAAATGGTAAATGCAGCTCACATTACAATTATTATCAGCTTCATTTATCTAAAGAGTGATGCATGATAAGGTTCAAACTTTTAAATAGTTTTTTTGTTTGTTTATACGTGTGCTAATTATTCCGGAATTCGTCACGATACATGAACGACTGAGAAATAAGAAATAAAATAGTCTATTGATAATTTCCCCGATATCAAGAGTATCTGAAGCCTTTTTGAATCTGCTTAGTCACTTACGTACTGGGTAGTTAGATTTTATAAGAGAGATTAACACAGAAGTTGTACTCGATTCCTTTTATAACTGCGATGAGCACTCATTACTATGAAAACATATTCAATTTACGGAAAGTAAATAAAGATACGTCTTATATATTTGCGCTTATACTGTTACTCACAAGACGGTAAATATACAAAAGATGGTAAGTGGTGATCGATTTCGATTGGACACTCCAATCATCATCAGACCCAATAGGCGAATGACAAGAATCTTATCTATCTATTGACAAGTAGGGACGCCATTCAAGATTCTTGTCATTCGCCTATTGGGTCTGATGATGATTGGAGTGTCCATTCGAAATCGATCACTACTTACCATCTTTTGTAAATTTACCGTCTTGTGAGTAACAGTATAAGCGTAAAGATATGTTTTAAGTGTTATAAGACGTATCTTTATTTACTTTCCGTAAATTTAATAACACGTACAATGCTGATCAAGAAGTTATCCAATTTATCATGTTATCAAACTTCCTGGGGATGGACCAATCTGCTTGGAGGGAGGCTGCATAAATGGCTTCTCATTGTGAAGAAATATATTCTTTTGAATTGACTGACGCTAGTGTTATGCACCTTGGAACCTGAAATAAAAGGGTTTCATGTCCATAATTAATATTCAAAGTTGGTACTTATTTTGCCTATATTTGTAAAGTATCGTTTTTATTATAATCACCAAACAAATCTTTTTCCCATGCTTATTATAAACGTATGATATTTTGGTTATACCAGTTAAATTAACAATAACTGGATTTTTCTTTATGAAAAAATAAGTCAACGACCTATTTTAACAGAGAAATCCGAAGGATCGCACAGGTCCGTGTGGAAAAGATCAAACAAAACAACAGTGTTGGTGGTGCAGTACAAGAATCAAATTAACTGAACATATAAATTTAGTTTTGACGTTAAACCGGCGAAATTGCTACCTTAAATTCGTAGCTTTAATATTTTAATACTTTCCTTTCTTATTAAATGGCGACTATACAAAGTAGGTATTTTATGCCAAGTATGAATGGAGATGAGTGTAGGATGGGTGGCGCGATCTTGTAGTCTTGTTAGTGACTAAGGCTAGTTTGCTCGTTGGACTACCAACTCACCTAAGTACAATATGTTTACACATAGGGAGGTTGTCTAAACTTTGATCTTGACACTATCGTCAATTCATTTTGTAAGAATTATAATTATTAATAATACAAACCAAACTTAGGGGCGTTGCTATTAATAATTTTTGGGGCTTATTAAGGAGTAGTTAAATTGGGGGTGTCATTAAGAGTGCATGCATTGTAACTATAAACGATAACTCAACCCTTAGAGGTTGAAGAACACTTTGATCGCACTACTGCATTCTGTCAAGTGATAAACTGTTTTACAGTACAGTTAATCTTGTCAGCGTACCTCATGTGTGAGGTTTAAAAATAAACACACCTTCTTTGGGTCCGGGCCAAAATCAAGTGTTTTAATTAGCTGCGTTTCTATTTGAGTGAACGTCAAAGTACTTAGTGATTTTCCCTTTTGAGAGTTTGAATGGTGATTAAAAACTCAAAGAATAAATATATTATATAACCTTCATAACCCTCATACCAATTTTAGTTGGTGTATTTTTTCCTTCATAAAGTAGATGGAAATACAAAAAAAATAATGAAAAAGCGTTAACGTTAAAATATTACGGATTTTTTAGATAAACCTATGAAATACAATTGTCATTACTGTAGCATTGTTTGTATACTGACATTTTTTTTTACTTTTTGTAAATACAAAAACATTTTAATGATAAGTCGAATGTCAAGTATAAATACACTTTCTTAAAGATTTGTGTGAAACCTTTTACTAATCCTGGTGAGTGGTAGTGAGTGTAAATATAATTGTAAAGTTGTATCGTAAATAAAATTTTCTATTTTATTATAAAACAGGTGTGCTAAGTATATCCTAAACTAAAATCAATCAAACTCTCCATACAAAAGTTCCATACAAAATATTTACTTCCATTCAATCTAAAAAAAAAATTATTGTATGGTACATTTAATTAGCGTATATTCTGTTGCTATTTTAATAATAAATCTCAAACTTTGTGCTCAAATCAGGAAAGGTATATTGACCGGAACGTGTATGACATACGATTGATGCAGTTGGTCCAAAGATATGAATCACTCTTGTTTGTGAGACAACTGAGTCGGTCATTCCATCTCATATGAGATGTTTGGAGATCAATACTCACAATAGAAGTAAGTTACAGTGCTTTGTGGAGCGCGAAATTAAAAACTAACTTGTCAGACGTGTGATTCAGTAAATTTTTACTTAAATTGATTATACTTATTGGTCATGCGTTAAAGTTGCCTCATTTTTCAAGTTATCTAAGCCTAGGTCAAGCTTATATATTGTAAGATCTATTCTGAGCAATAAAAAAATTACAAACATTTGATTTAATTTCGCAAAAAGGAATTGGCTTGCTTTTAAAATTTGGTTCTGATTAAAAGAATACCAGCCTAAGCTTACAAAAATGATAATGAAATTTTACGAGATATGTAAGTATTGAATAGTATATTTCGTACCTAGGGCCGAAAATGAGGTTTTGCCGGCTCGAGATAGTTTTTAAGTTCGAGACGGAGTCGAGAACTTAAATCGATCGAGAGCTGCAAAACCATTTCGGTCCGTGGTACGAACGCTATTTTTCACCACACTATACCCACCACTATTCACCACTATAATAATGCACACTGATAGTCAACACAACTACAACTTTAAGGATGTAAAAAATAATATGAGGAATCAGCAAAAATAAAAATAAATGGTTGCTAGGCAACGGTGACAATAACACAATTATATTGCAATGCTATGGATTTTGATTGTGTATTTAAAATGCATTCATGTTTTAAGTAAGTAAGCGGACAGCTGATTTTGCGGCCCCGGGCTGTAAAAACCTGCTCGGTCCCCAAATTACGATGACAGCTGGCATGGCCAGCAGAACGTAACTTTCATTCACCAATTAACGTATGTAATACTGTCAAAAACATCATACTGTGGTGAAAAAGGTTTTAAATGGCTTAAAACCTAATAAACATGGCGTCTGGTTGAACAATGACACGATTACGAATAATACGTCTACTATCAATGTGAGGGTTTATCAGATTATTATACACATCAATGTGTATTCTTTGTATTTGGGGAACTACTCTTATTCAACAGACGAAATTGGAAAACCAAATACAGCAAAGTTTGTTAATTTTCCTAATACAATGTTTTCACGCAATTTAATTAACGTGTTTTCAACAATGGCTGATAAGTACTTCAAAAGAATAACTAAATACGAGTCATATTATGATAAAAAAGGGGAACTTATATTTCAAAATATATTTTGCGGGGTTTCGTGTGATTTTAATACGAAAAGTTGTTTAAAAATGTGGTACTTTGTGTACCAAAAGCCAACCAAGGTGTTTACCTGGAGTTTTATAAAAAATATTTTCAAAAAGAAGAGAAGGAAAGCTATATCATGGCATGTTTACTCTTCTTCGTCATAACTTTCCCTAACATTTTGGGCGTTTATTTGAGCTTATTGAAAAAAAAATTCGAAGATACAATTGTCAAAATATGTAGTATATATATTGGCTATACTGTATCCTTAGGGTAAATATTTTTCATATGGCCTAAAATACTAATTATATAGTGTGACACACGATCAGTCATTATTTTTAGAAGACTATATATTTAAGCACCTGTAGCACAATTGAATTGTTTGTTAATATGTTATCCTAATTTCCTATGCAATAAAAATGAGTTCATACTGTACATTTAATCTGTATTTAAAGATAATAAGAATTGTAATCGATTCACGCCATTAATATAAAGATTCAACAATAAACACTCAGATAACCTGTGTAGATTTATGGTGAGTAATGACCTAACTGTGCATTTGGATGGATCGTTCTGTGCATTAGAAGCTGACAAATTAACGCACGTATTTGGGAGCGATACCACGAACTGAGAGTGGTTTTAATGAGAAGTGTTTCCCAAGTGTGAAATCCTTTTGAACTAATCTTGTCAGAAGCTTCATTCATAGCATCCGTATATGGTTCGTGTGAGCTGTTCATCTTTTTATATCTATAAATTCGTTAATCGACGACTAATTCTATTTGAAATTATCTCTACGCATGGAAATGCGTACCACAATAATCATCAAACAATATGTCAACAAACAGTTGGGGCTTTTGACTCTATGATAGGGATATCGTATTCAAATATTTTAAAAAATTATATCTGGTCAGGAATTCCTTTATACATACAAGCTTCTCCTTTTCAAAGATGCCTATGTGTGTTGTTTTCAAAAATTATGGACCTACCAATTAAAGTGGGATTTTAATCAGAGGGCGTACTATACAAAGGTAAAATCTATTGGTGATATAGGAATGTGAACCTGGTTCATCAACCGATGTTTTTTTGTTTTTATGGGAAGGCATTATTTCATATACTACAAAAACAAGCAAACCTTAAACCACAAATAAAAAAAATTTTATTTATACTTATCATATTATACAATTTTATTTTTGTTCAATGAGGCTATTAATTTTTTTTTTACAAAAGGGGGGTGTTTCAAAGGGAGTTTAAGATTTCATATTTTTGCTCTGATTGGTATTGCAATGATTAGTAGATTTAAATAATTATACATTTAGTAATAACACTATTTGATTATTTTTCATTATTTAAAAGCAAGAGTGCACTTTGTACATTATCTTTTAAAATGTACACCTTTCAAATACCAAAAACACTGGAAATACAGGCTCAAAGAGGACAAATCCTACTAATTATTATAAATAAGAAAGTTTGGATGTATGGATGGATGGATGTATGTTTGTGACAAGTAAACGCGAAAAATACTGGTCGGATTGGGCTGAAATTTGGTATGATGATAGCTCACATTCCCGATTAACATATAGACGCATTCTTATCTTAAAAGTCCTTTCGGGCTCCGCCCGAGTGGCTCTGGTGTTTCCCATGTTAACCTTATGAGTAATCGTATTTAAAAGGAATAAAAGAATTTTGTCAGCTGTTTCAACTACACAAGTTGGTTCTATGATATTGAATAGCATTAAAAAGTTACAAGGTTTACCAATAGGGTGCAGTAATATTATTTTTTTACATTTATGACAACAGCTATCCTATTAAGGCCATAAAGGTAAAATTTTGTTTTTAAAAAGCTTATGTGTAACTATTTTATCAACAGATGTAAAGATCAAAATGTTTCTATTTCGTGTTCTCTTCCCGTTGCAAAGCACGGGTACAATAGCTAGTAATTACTATAAAACTACCACAAACAAATTAAAATCTTTTACATCTTACTATTTCATTGCTCTATCTCTAACCCTTTTGTTACACTTAAATCATAGTTTCATCTAAGTATGAAACATTTGCCTTTGCTCTTGCGTAGCCTTGTTTAGTTTAATATGCTACACCGACCTACATTAGCCTGGTAACGCTATACTGTTGTTTAGGGGTTGTAAATTGCACAGCGTGAAACATATTACGAAGTGAATGGCTTCATAAACTATACTATTTTTCTTACGTTTTAATTTTGAAAATATTCTTCCACTTGAAAATCTCACAGTTGGTTTTCTGAAATTTCCAACGAATATTAGAGATTTTGACTAGCGTTTCTGTTATATATTTTTAGAGTTTATGTAATATTTAAAATAGTATTTTTATACCTTTTTGTCTATTCACGACATTGGCATTATTTTGGTTTTTTTTTAAGGGACAGTCCAAACCAAAAATATTTTTACTTTCTAACGTCGGTACCTTAGATCGTAATTTTAAGAGTTTGTATGAAACCAAGCCTTGAATTATTGCCGTACTAGCATGGTTACGAAACTGGTAAAGATAATGGTACTATAAAGAAGTATGTTTTAATGTGTAAAGGAATTTTTTTGTGGTTACATACATTCAAATTATTGCAATGAAAAAATGAATCTTACATAGTAATTTTAATGTTCGAGCTGACATTTTTGTTTAATTTAACTTTCAATTAGGTATACTGCAATAATCATACCGACGAAAAATATTATGAGGTCGAGGTTCTATAGATTCATGTATATTACTCGTTATTTTTGTACTTATCTAAAATTTCTTACTTAATTAGTTATGTATTTTTGACAGTAATATCATAAAACCTTTCTAATTAGTATTTACAGTTAAATGGTCAATATAAGCAAAAAGTAAAAAAAAACAAATAAATATTTTTGATTATTGTTGCAGAACAAGTATTGCAGGAAATGTTCTCATAATGTACGTGTCGATTAGTTTTGAATATTTCCGTTTCATATTATCATTGCAAGACGGTTTCATGACAGCAACGGAAAGACTGTTGAGGTCATGGTTAACGCTTGTTTATACTAGTACATTAATGGTAGGTTTAGGAATATTCCTCTTGCAATTAATTACACCCTTTTACTAGATAGGCTATCTGTTCATTGAATTAGTTATAATATTATTATTAAATATAGTTTTGATAGCAACACTCAACTGAGTGTGGCAGTAATATTGTACTTTTATTTTTAGAATGTTTTCAAAGTGAATTTGAATATCTTTTCTGTGATAATCGAAATAAAAACCAAGGGAATGATTTAGGCCTGTAATCTATCATACATATTCATGTTCATACAGATAACAACCTAATAAAGTTTAAAGTCTAAAATATTTTTTAATTTTTTTAGTTTGAATCAATTATTGATGACTGATCTCCAAACTCAATAAAGAAAATTTAGTTAGGCTACATTGGAGCAGTTAAAAAATTTGGCCAATAACTCTCGGGCTTTTAAATTCTTCCCTTACATTAAATTCACCAGTTAGGGTCAATTAAAGTTATTTTTACAATTACAGTAGTTAATTTATCTTTAAGTTCATTTATTCTTAAAAAAGAAACAAAACAAACAGACATGATATTATCAGAAATAATGAAAACATTTATTTAAACATCTTTGGTCTTCAGATTATCGTATTATCAGTCGTATTACTTTATTTAGACAAAAACTATTCTTTTAGATTTGACGTTGCCTTAGTGCCTAAACAATCATAAAATGGAGATAACCAACGTCTTCACCCTTTATTTAGTAGGGCGTGATTATGATCAAAACTACAACGTGTTTACCATTTTGAAATTTTGTATAACTTAGTTACTTAATACGAATTCGTAAATCATTTTAATAATTATTTTAATTTTTTATATTTCCCTATTTATATTTTGCCCTCATAATTAAACATCTTACTAACCCTCGCTAAACGCTTGAGTAGAAGGTAAGTTGGACTGAGTTTAATCATTAAGGAATGGTTAACCACAATTCAATCAAGATTTCATTCACCAGCAAGCGTATCTAATTAAAAACATACCGTCCAGAGCATCTGGCTCTAGGCCCAGTCCACAGTATCGTTTATTTTTAAAACATCGCAACTTTGATTTACGTACTGAAGGTGTTTAATAACATGTCTGGGCTTGGTAGCGCCACGGATTGCTGTCTAATTATATCAACAACAAGCTTCATACAAGGAAATAATTCTAGTAATTTATATTACAATATACTGTATAAACAATATAAATAACTTTCAAATGTGAAAAATTAATATCGTCTATAAATAAGTAAAATTGAAAAAAGAAACATTTCCAAGTGTTAACTCATAAGAAATATATATGACAGTGCAGTAGAACCTCGATAACAAGACTCTCATTGGGGTTACTAAATAAGCCTTGTTAACAAGGTTTAATTCTTATCGAGGTTGGCAATAACAGTTGATAAAGGGTAAAATAAATTCAAGGGGATTTGAAAATTACACTTATTATTAAGGGTGAATTGTTATCGAGGATCTTCTTATCGAGGTTCCAATTTATGTTTCTTCCAATTATTCCACGTTTTCTCTGATAGAGTGATATATATTTTAAGGTAATAATTTTAATTTTTGTCGCATCTCTCGTTTTGTTACAGAGACAGGAAATGGCGTGATTCGTGACTGCCACCTGTAGAGAGCGTTCCAGACATGGAGCCTTTACAGATAGACTCTGGGAGGTAACAATAACCATTCAAATAAAACATCACTCTAGTCTTTACTTGTTGTTTTGCCCGTGCTTCGCAGAGAGTAGAGAATGCTTTAGAGAATAATATGGGTAAAAAAACATTTACATACACTTGTTTTACAAACCATACAGTCAATCGTTAATCGTACTTGTTGCTTATTTTAATACAAATATATTTTGTATTTGCATTTAACTTTGTGGAAGAATCAAAACTAATAATTCAGGGAAAACTAAACAAAAAAATCAAATAAAAACGAATCGAGGATGTTGATCATTAAGACCTTTCATTCAAGTATGTGGTTGATAGGGGTGCGGCTTACGGGTTTCTCAAAAGTTCGTGATCCTTATCAGATTTAGTTTTTTAGTAGATTTTGCAACAAAGATTTTAGGTGTAGATTTGTACTCGTTATTTTTCGTGACCAAACGCAATCCAAACTGACTTTAGAGGTAGTGTACTGTCGTAATATAAGGGAGAGATTCGATAACTTTAACACATTAAAAATTAGAAAGCTTTGTTTAGTACGATAAAATTGTCATACATTTCCACAGTTTAAGAAAATCGAGCAAGATCAAAGTATGTATTATGATTGACTAAATACTTAATCGATATTACACAAATTGGAAAGGAATTTATTTACGGACAATGATTCATTTGTCCAAGACTGCTTAGGAAAATCATTGATAAATTAATTAACACAAATGACTGAAAACTTCACCAACAGGACCATTACATGATATGTCGTAAGAATATTTCAAAAGGCAACTTTAACTATACAGCTTTAAGTGTAGTTTGTTTGCTTCAATGTTAAAAGACTTTTTGAAACAAATAACATTATTTCTCTTTAGCTGAATCTGCATTTAAATTAGTAATACCATTTATTTTTTTTATCTACATTTTTACAAAAATATAAATATGATGTGTAATAAATATATGAATGTTTGAAAAGCTCATTTAGTCATGCGCAAGCTATTCAGGTATTTAAAAAAGTAGAGGTTTGCTGTCACCATAGTTAATTCCATGCCAAAAAGCTTCGAACAAACACCGATAAAGATGTAATTAAAAGACCTTCAAATTATTTTGGGTTGGCTGTAATGCGAATAATGTGAACAAAATCTTAATTGTGTCAAACGTTTTGTTTATACAAAAAGTTGCAACTTAAGTCATAAGAATAATAGTAGAACAACAAGATAATGTAAATTGTTGCCTTAAATACTGTTCTTTAAAACTGTTTAGTACTTTAATTCCTATTTTGGCAGAAATGCTTTTATACTACTTAACGCGACAAACAAGCTAAACGACTTGAGGTAAACAACTGAAACAAGTTTATGGAACTGTAATATTACTTTAAATCTCCCTAACTTCTAACAATTTCACTTTTTATTTTCATCTATAATGTTTCCTTGTAAGTCTTATCTCAAATTATAGTTTTTTAAGTATTATTTAATGGACACAAACGAAGTTTGTTTTTAAGAAGGTTTATCAAATTTAATATTTATATTTTGTAAATATAAAAGTAATTTACACATGGTTTGACAGTAAATCTTTTCGACATGAGCCCAAGTTTTATGACAGGATAATGCCGTCGGTTATGTAATAATGTAGTTTTTGTAACGTAATAATACTGTCCACTGTTTACCAAAGCTACCTCATTGGTTTGCTATTATGGGTATAGCACTCATGATACCGCTATAATAATTACAAAACTACTGTTAGTAATTGACCACCAACAGGCGTGCCTTTAATTTACGTACAATGTATGTATTACTCCAGCAACACTATTAAACATTCATTTTGATTTCTCAAATTATTTCACAAATACATGTTTTATTTCAGTCATAACATATAAAATTACACTATAATAAATGCTTACTAATTTTAATACGGACTATTTTTGATATCGGTAAAAAGTCTTTATTAACAAATAATACTTATCGTATCATTATTAAAATCGGTGTGTATACTGTATCACCTTGTTGAGTTGTATACTTTAATATAAATATTTACTTTTTATCGGAATTTGGACAAAGTGAACAGCGAGAGAATTTCAATAGTATAAATATGCATTCATTATTATGTTAGTGGATTATTGTTATTGTATATAATCTAAGTTTGCTGAACAATCTTTTGCCACCCAGTTGACCTTTTTATAGTCGTGATGTTGAATCAAAAGGTTTATAGAAAGAATATATTTAACCATGAAAGTGTTGCCGTCAGTCATTATACAGACTTCAAGGATTAGCCAAATATAAAAATTCACCTCTTCTACATAATATTTACGGCTGTCAGGTTGGCAAGAAATGGTCGATTTGTTAGGTTTGAAATTTATTACTTCCTCTATCAAAAATAAAATGACTAACTAGAAAATGTCTAATAGATAAAACTTTATGAGTTTAAAATACTAAACGTATACACGTTAAATATAGCCTACCATGTTGCTTGATGTTCGATGGAAGTATTGAATAATGCCATACTTTTAAAGATGTTTAAAAGTAAATTTTTTCCTAATATCTTCCTGTCAGAGGTCTGTTTGTATACTGCTGTCCAATATTTCCCCCTAAACTATACATTTTAAGATCAGTTGGAAAATTCGTAATCTTTATATATGTTTAATGAATTATTGTTAAATAGATCATAAGTGTTTAAGCTCGATAAGGAGATTTTATATATTAGATTAATCATACAATTTTCCTAAGTAGAAGTTCCTAAGTAAAATAATAGTTTTAAAATTAGAATTGTAGCATTAAAACCCGTATTTAAACATCAATTTAGAATTAGTAAACACAAAGCAATTGAAGAAAGTGAGGTAAGAATAATCAGGAAGTATTTCCCAGAAAAGGGATTTGTTTCTTTCCCTTAACTTTTAAACTGTTTAAAGAAACTTTCTCGCCTTTCTTATCCGACTTCACACTACATTAAATTGTGTCAAAATAAACGTTTAGTAAACTGCCTCATACTTTTTGTGTTAACTACAGGTTTTGTTTATTTTGTGGTTTTCGTTTATATATTTTGGTTTTCAATTAAAATAATCACACATTGTCCAGTCCGAAAGTATCACTTTACAACCTGTGCAATGGATTCATTGTTTACTGACTGTTTGGTTATTGTTTTCGTCAAAGTTTGAGCGAAAATAAGATTTTTTGTGAAACCGTTGTTTGAGTAATAAAGGTAAACAAGTACTTTGGTGACAAACTCCCTTAGCAAACTTGAAAATGTAATATTGTTAGTTCACTTTCCTAGCTAAAAGCTTCAACTCTTCACAAAAACGTTTGCATAAACACTACCTCCACCTCCACCTCCTCACTACTCCCACTATCATCTCCTCTTGTAGACTCAACTAGAGCCTTGTTGTTTTACTTACAGAAGGATACAAAGGGTGCAAATATTAATGATTTAAAAGAACTCATGATAAAACATTTTCAGATGTAACATACCTGGCCAAACACTTATTAGTATCTCTGTGAAATGATTAGCTGTTTAATTGCATTTTAGTATGACTATAATATAAAATATTTTTTGTCCAATAGTAAAATGAATTATTTCTTAAATCGTTTTGCTAACAGGTCTATGTTAATTTTAATTTATTATTTATATCCTCCCTTCTCATCCTAGGATGCTAGGTTCTAGCCCAGAAATTTTACACACAACTTCAGCCTGGTCATAGAAGGCCGTTATCACATAGATAAAATCCATTGGTGACCACCCGGGACCGAATCCCTAGCACCACTATTAGTCCAACTCGCTCCCCGAAATTAACTTTAATAACACTTTCCTAGTTAACTAAGAAAGAAGTAATAAAAGAAGACATCTAAAATTTAGCTAGGTAAAAATTGAAACTTTTCGATTTAACATGACCAGTTTACCAAACATAGGTTTTATAGGTTAAAATGAGTTTTCTTCTTTAATGTGCTTGTACACCATTGGTCTGAAAAGGAAACAATAAGAATTAGTTGAAAAATGTGTTTGTTTTTTTAGTGGTCACTAGAAAGATTAAGTTTTTTAAAAAAATTTGTAAATTTGTGAGTTACATACATTAAGATTGGAAGCACGGATGAAACAATTGCTAAATATAATTCTTAGTAAATATTACAAGGTGTTCTTTTACAAAGGGGTTTTTTTTGTTTTTAAGAATACTTTTGTGTTCCGCTTTAACAAACTGATGTAAGCAACTCGTAACCAAGTTTGCAGAACTGCGATATTGCGTTAGAACTTGTTCTAACACTCAACAAATAAGCTTTGTGTTTCCTTCATGAATATTTCCTCGAGTAAGACGAATTTTACATTGATAGAGTTTTCGTTGCATACGCAACATACTTGAATATTTTCATGCTCTATGTATTTTAATTTTTAAATTTTCCACTCCCACTTATAATCTCTTCAAGGCTCCCAACGTCTCACAATCAAAACATTATCGTTAGTCTGCAAGATATTTTGTTCAACCCGATAAAAGTACGTCTGTCAGCTATCAAATTACACCCATAGGGAAAGACAAGAAGTTTTTACACGTGCATATATTTTTCGCTGATAACTAAAAAAACCTCAAATCATCGAAAAGTTACTCTGTTAAACTTAACGGTCTACTGCTGTAACAAAAAAATACTGACAAGTACAATAAGCTTTCTAAATGAAATGTAGATAAAGGCTTAAACGTAAAAAGCTTTAAAAGAAATTTTTTACTTAAGATTGCTTAAACAGTTTTAAATATACGATTTGTCATAGATAACTTAAAGGTAAGTTACCTTGTTTTTTGTTGCAAATCGAAATACAAACGTTGCTACAAGTTAAATAGTTTTTTTTCGAACTACGTACTGTACAATAAATAGTTGTATAGTTATTGAAGTATTTAAAACTTCTAAAGTAGTTATAAAAGCAAATTACAAAAGTGACGTTTGAGTAATAAAGGTAAACTTGCGAGACAAGCCCAAAATCTCTCAGGGAACTTTCAGATTTAATATTGTTTGTTCATTGCTTCAGCTAAAATCTTGAACGCTTCA